TAGATCAGACTCATAGTGATTCTGCTGTTTACAGCCTCCCAAGTGCTGGGATTTCAGGTGCGTGCCACCACGCCCAGTCTCATTGGCTGTCTCAGTGTGCCCCTGGGGATGGGGCGGGCACAGCAGGCCCAGGAATCAAACTCCCCGGCCCCTTGCCTGCTTGCAGGCCCTTTAATCTGCTGAGCTATTTGGCCGGCTCTTGTTTCAGTTCTTATTGAATCTTAGAACCAGACATTGATCAGTGGGTGCAGAAACGTAGGTGAAAGGCTAAGTCAGCACTTCATGATCCTCTTTAATTAGCTCTCCCAGAATAATGGGAATACAGACGTGTCACCATGCCTAACTAGAGATTTTATTTATTTATTTGTTTATTTTTTGTGGAACTGGGGATTGAACTCAGACTCTTGCGCTTGCCAGGGAAGCACTTATTCTACTGAGCCATCTCTCCGGCCCCCTAGAGATTTAAAAAAACATATATAATTTTTTTCAGTACTGGGGATTGAACTCAGGACCCTGCACTTGCCAGGCAAGTGCTTATTCTACTGAGCTATCTCCCCGGCCCAAAAGAAATACTAAAAAAATTTTTTTTATATATCTAGTACAGGGTCTACAGGGCCTCACTACGTAGATTGGACTCAGTGATTTTCCTGTTTTCAGCTTCCCAAGTGCTGGGGTTATAGGTCCGTGCCACCACGCCCAGTCTCAATTGCCTCAGCACTGGGCCCACATGGTGCGCTGGAGATCAAACCCTGGCCCTGGTACTGCATGCTCTGCCTAAGCAGGTGCTTTAGTCTGCTGAGTTATCTGGCTGGCCCTTTTTTTTTCTTTTAAATGATTTTTTTTTTTTTTTTTTTTTTTGTACTCCTGAATGCATGAAAACCAGTGTGTAGATTTCATTTAATTTGAAAATATCAGGCTAAGGAGATAGCTAAGCAGTCTAAATGCCTGCCTGGCAAGGGCACGGACCCGAGTCTGATCCCTGGTACTGCATGCTGTGACAGCCCAGCTACTTCAGGTGTGCTGAGCCAGCCACTGAAGCCAGGTGTGGTGGCCCGTGCCTGTAATCCCAGTGCTTGGGAGGCTGATAAACAGGAGAAACACCATGTGTCTGATCTGTGTAGTGAGACCCTGTAGATCTGGTACTAAATACATTAAAAAATAATAATAAATTAAAAAAAATTGAATCTGATTGAGCCTCAAGAATGAATCTCTATAGAAGAAACATTGGCAGAGGCATCGGTTAAACAGGACTATGGGGTTATAAGCAGGAGTTTCCTTATTGGAATTGTCCTCAGAGGATATAGGTAAATCTTTTAAACAAAATGTTCTAGTTTTTCAACAGATAGTTGGCCAAGAGAAAAAAGTTTTATGGGTTAAGAGGTTTGAGAAACACAACAACCAAAAGAAAAATCTCCAAAGTATGTTCTTAATATTCCTGCTGGGGAGATAGCTCAGTGGCATAAGCACCTGCCTGGCAAGCGTAAGGTCCTGAGTTTGAGCCCCAATACAAAAAAAAAAAAAAAAAAAATTGCCCTTTGTCCCTGGCATACTGGGATTGTGTGACCTTCACATCCTTTACCCCTTGGGGGAACCATTTTCTAATGTCATTTACAAATTTCTCACCCTCTCATTGCTGGAGCTGAGGCCCTTTTGCCACTGTCCCAAAGGTGGATAACTTTCTTTTTTGCCCAAATATACTTTTCTTGGTTCCCTCTGGAAGAGAGTGGGCTGGTGGGTGCTCTTTTTTTTTTTCCGGAACTGGGAGGTGGGTGCTCTTTTGTCTTTGTATTTCTATTTCATCCTTCCTCCCATATCATCCCTCAGCATATTCCCAGCACCTGGACAACGAGATCAGTCACAGCAGCTACCTAGGCACCGATTACCCCACAGCCATGACCCCCACATCCCCTCGGCGGTACTCCCCAGTGGCTAAGGACCTGCTGGGGGAGGAAGACATTCCCCGAGAACCGAGGCGAATTGTGATCCACCGAGGCTCCACGGGCCTGGGCTTCAACATTGTGGGTGGCGAGGATGGTGAAGGCATCTTCATCTCCTTCATTCTGGCTGGGGGCCCGGCGGACCTCAGTGGGGAGCTGCGGAAAGGAGACCAGATCTTGTCGGTGAGGGAGGGCCTCCCCCTGGCTGTCCTCCTGTCCTCTTGTCCTCTAGCATGGAGCCTGGAGCTCTTGAGGAGGGGCTGGGGGGCCAAAGCCTGGTCCTCCTTCTGGACCACTTCCACTTCTACTTGGACCCAGAAAGTACTATCTCCTTAATCCTGGCTCCTGTGTTTCTTTCCTTTCTAGGTCAATGGTGTTGACCTCCGCAATGCCAGCCATGAGCAGGCTGCCATTGCCCTAAAGAATGCGGGTCAAACGGTCACGATCATCGCTCAGTATAAACCAGAAGGTACCAGGGTTGGGGCACCCTGTCTTGTGGCTAAGAAGGTCCTCAGAGGCCAGGTCTAGGGGTACAGTCCTGTGAGACCAGCCTGGGCAACTTAGCAAGACCTTGTCTCAAAAAAAAAAAAGTGTATTTCATCCCTTGGTTCAATCCCTAATACTGAAAGGAAAAAAAAAAAAAAAAAGAACTATTGTCTTCTTAGTTTATGGCTTTAGTGGCGTGGTGGGGGTAGCAGTAGAATGAAATAGAGTTCAGAAACCTTGTCCATCCTTAGAGTACAGCCGATTCGAGGCGAAGATCCATGACCTTCGGGAGCAGCTCATGAACAGCAGCCTGGGCTCAGGGACTGCCTCCCTACGGAGCAACCCCAAAAGGGGTTTCTACATCAGGTCAGAGGCTTCCTGGACTGGGTCCCTTAGACTCCATTGGATTCCTGCTTCCCATACCTGCCCCTGTTCCTCAGCCAGTTCTTTTCCCAAGCGCTGCATCGTTTCCCTGCCAACCCAGACCTAATGACCTAATGTTTAGCTGGTAGAGCTCAGCTGCACAGGTAAACTGTCTGAATACTCCATTTGGATTGGAAAAATAGGTCTGCCTGACCTTCCTGTTGCCTCCTAGCCCTGGTCACCTTGGCATCCCTCCAAGACTCCCGGATTACTTCATATTTGGGCACCTGAATGGTCCCTAAACGGGGCCTGTAGGGTTTCCTTTTATCGTGCTGTATTTCCTGGGCTAGCTTCAAATTCCTGTACTCAGGTGTTCCTCTGACCTCCACCTTGTGAGTGGCTAGGACATCACTGTACATAGATTTGGATATTTTGAATATTGTCCTAGCCTTGGCATCCTGGTGGACAGTCAGGAGGACATGGCCAACAGCTCTCTTGGGCCTGTCACATGTCTCCTGTCTCTTGAGCAGTGTTTGCTACCTACCCACTTAGGGCTCTTCGTCTCATTGATTCCTCTCTTCTACCCTCTCCCCCAGTGGTCATGGTGATTTAGGTTTCCACTGCATTTCCTCTTCTCAGTCTTTCTGATCCTGTCCACCTCCTGGCCTTTTCTGCCACTCTATTCTTCAGATGTCTCTCAGAGCTGTTGGCCCTGGCCTTCCTTCTTCCTGAAAGCCCAAACCTGCATTTCCGGCCATCTTGTTTCTCACCATGTCGCCTGGGTTGTCTCACAGGCAAGACCCATTCAACATACCCCAGACAGAGCTGGGGTATGTTTTTTAGGTCCACTCATGTCCCTGCCTCATGCAGGTACATGCAGGTGTTCTCCCTCCCTAGGGCTACAGAAAGGTCCCCAAGGTGGTTCACTTCTGCCTGTCAGATGTTACCCACATGATCCTATCCTAGGATTTCTTCCTTTCTTCCTAGTCCCATTGCTGTACTCTGCATCTTACCTTGTCAGAGAGTTGATTGTTTTTCCTTGCTCTGGCGGTTGTAACTGATAAGAGTTTGATACTGATGAGGGTTGGTTACCAAAGTTTGCCAGTGAACTACCTTTTTAAAATTTTTCTTATGATTTTGAGCAGATTCATGGTAACTGATATGCATACATATCACAAACTACTTTCTGGGATTCTTGATCTCTACAGACTCCACGCATCATGCAAAGCATTATGGCAATGATGAGTAATAGAGATTTTGGCCCCTGCAGTGTTTGGGTTCAGTGGGGTATACCGCCAAAATTCCATAGCTTGTGGCAGACCTCTCATCCCAAACCTCCAGGTTGGCTCTCAGGATGGCTGACAGATCTTTCTTGGAATCCTCAGCCAGGCCCTGACCCATAGACCCTTGCCCTTTAGGGCCCTGTTTGATTATGACAAGACCAAGGACTGCGGCTTTCTGAGCCAGGCCCTGAGCTTCCGCTTTGGGGATGTGCTGCATGTCATCGACGCTAGTGACGAGGAGTGGTGGCAGGCACGGCGGGTCCACTCTGACAGCGAGACCGATGACATTGGTTTCATTCCCAGCAAAAGGCGGTGAGGCTTCTGGGGTCTACATCCTTCCTTCTTCCTGAAAGCAGGGAAGTTCCCCAAGTTCCCAGGGGTGGGCAGCCAAGAGGGGACTCTTGGTGGGCCTGTCTGCTAGGCTTCCTGAGGACTATGGCTCCCATGAGCCTTTGGGGCAGATGGTTCCTCATGGTAGAACACAGGGCCCAGTATCATGGGAGAGGTTCTCTGCTGGTCTGGAGGGTGGGCATTGTTAAGCCTCTTATTGGGCATTTCCTATCTTCCACTCTTCCATGTATCCTTCAGGGTTGAGCGGCGGGAGTGGTCAAGGTTAAAGGCCAAGGTAGGTAGAGGAAGGGTGAGCTGGGTGGCAGAGTGGGGGCTTCATTGAGCTAAACCCTTAACCATGGCTGCTTTTGCTTTCTAGGATTGGGGCTCCAGCTCTGGATCACAGGGTAGGTAGGGTCAGTTGGGAAGCCCTGGGGCAAGAAGAACACGGAGTTTTCCTTGACATCCTCAGGAAGGCAAGACAGGGACTCCAGGTCTTCTGTCTTGGAATTGCTTGAAGATGTCCTGTTTTGCACCAGGTCGAGAAGACTCAGTTCTGAGCTATGAGACGGTGACACAGATGGAAGGTGAGCCCTGGTCCCTGCTGTGGCCTTGGCCCTCCTGGTCACTGCTCTGTTCGTGCTTACGCCCAGCTTTCTCTTCTCAGTGCACTATGCTCGCCCCATCATTATTCTTGGGCCCACCAAGGACCGCGCCAATGACGATCTTCTCTCTGAGTTCCCTGACAAGTTTGGATCCTGTGTTCCCCGTGAGTGCTAGGGCCTTGGGTGGAGGTGGAGGTTGGAGCAGGGTGAGGCCCCAAGGAGTCCTACTTGAGGGCCACAAGCAGAACTGCCCATAGGTGTCAGAATGCAGCGGTCACAGGGGTCCTCAGAAGAGGGGTGCTTCTTAGCCACTTTCATGTTCCACAGCAGCCACACCCAGGCCAGACTTGGGAGGGTCCTGGAGGGTGCAGAGGGAGGTGGGTCTGTCCTTCCCCAGTCTCAGACTCCATAGTGGCGTCCATCTATGAGGACCACCTGGGCATTCTAGGGGTTTTGTTGATGTATTCAGGTTTTAAGGTAGAGGGATGGTAGTTAGATCTTTGGGGGGGTGGGTGACTTCCTGGCAGATACGACACGGCCCAAGCGGGAATATGAGATAGATGGTCGGGATTACCACTTTGTGTCCTCCCGGGAGAAAATGGAGAAGGACATTCAGGCGCACAAGTTCATCGAGGCTGGCCAGTACAACAGCCATCTCTACGGGACTAGTGTCCAGTCCGTGCGAGAGGTGGCGGAGCAGGTAGGGCCTGGCGGGCACCCTGTCCTCTTCCTCCTGCCCTCTCCCCACCCCATTGCCTCCTCCAGCTCTCTCTAACTCTCTTTCTCTCTGTCTCTTTCCCTGCTGGGTCTCCACTTCGCTCCTCCACCTCCTTCTCCTCTTGGGCCGCTCTGTCTGGCTGCCTGCTCTCTGTGCCCTGCTTCCCTTGCTTGCTGACCTCATGCTCCCCGCTGCCATCTGTCCCTTTCTTCTCTTCCCTCCTCCATGTCCCATTTCTCCTCTTTTCCTGTGGCCTTCTCTCTGATGGCTTGGCCTCCTCCAACTCGGTCCCCCCTTTCTTTCTTGTTTTCCTCTGTCCCCTCCCTTTTCCTGGGATCCTTACTCCCCTTTCTTGCTCCTCTGCTAACTCCTTTACCTGCTGCCCCCACCCTGGTCACCCTCCCTCTGCCACTCCTTTCTCCATCTGCCTCCTCTCCTTCCCATCTGTCTCTCCTTTATCCTTCCATCTGTCTGTCCTCTGTCCGTCCTCACCTCCCCCCTCTATCCTACTTCCTGTCTTTCCTTTGCTTTCTTTCCTTACCTGTCCATCCTCCCTTCTGCACCCCCAACCCACTGTCTGCTGCCCCTGCTCTGCCTTTTTCTTTTGGGTCATCTCCCTGCCTGTTTCTCATATCCTCCATGCCATCCCTTCCCTGCCCTTCTGTGCTTGGTTTTCCATCTTCCCCTCTCCTTTTTCTCTCTTTTATTCTGTCTCTTCATACCCCTTGCCTGCCACGACTCTGCCCACATGTCTTTTGGTGTCCATGTCATTTTCCCTTTGGCCAATCTCTGTCCCCAACTTTCCATGCCCTCTGTCCCTTCTTGGCACCTCTGTCTGTCCTTTCCCACCACCTGCTGGTCCCCTCCCCCTCCCCTGCCTGCCCCCAGGGGAAGCACTGCATCCTCGATGTCTCAGCCAATGCTGTGCGGCGGCTGCAGGCGGCCCACCTGCACCCTATCGCCATCTTCATCCGCCCCCGATCCCTGGAGAATGTGCTGTGAGTATGGTTCCGGGTGCCTCCCCTCTGCTCCCCACATCTGCAGTCCTGGACCTCGAGTCCTGTCCATGGAACTCTCCCCTCGGAACCCTGGACAGCAACTCTAGCAGCCCTCCTGGGGGATCTGCATGGGGAGCTGGAGCCCAGAGGTTGCAGGGAGGCCCAGGGCTGTACTCCTAGCAGGCCCAGAGGCACATGCCAGTCCGGGCAAGCCAGGGCTGTGGGTCTGTAGTAGACCCCCTTCCAGTCTGAATGCCTTCTGTGAAGCTGAAGGCTGGAAGAATGAGCTCTGGAGAGGTCCTGGGAGCACCCACACCTGGCTGGGGTGGGTGATGGGCAGAGACTCATCCATGTCTCTGAATATCAGGAATTGTATTTTTTGCTGTGAGCTCCAAATAAGAAAATACCAGTTGGAACCCAGCGTCCCTGGCTGGAGGAGGAAAAAGGCCAGTGGGGCCCATCCTCAGGTCTGCATCTTTCTCCCTCTTCACAGAGAGATTAATAAGCGGATCACAGAGGAGCAAGCCCGCAAAGCCTTCGACAGAGCCACTAAGCTGGAGCAGGAGTTCACGGAGTGCTTCTCAGGTGAGTGCCTGAGGCTGTCACCATGGGAGCGACACAGCATGTTTCTGCTCATGTTTGGCAAAGCTGCTCCCATTTAAGATGAGCTGCCCCTGTGGGTGGGCACAGCTTCATGGGTCGTGACTGGATGCATTAGAACAAGGTGCCCTGCCTCTGTACTGGTGTCCCATGTTCCTTGGCCAGGTGTCCAAGGCCATGGGTCTTACTCCCTCTTCTACCCATTCCCAGCCATCGTGGAGGGCGACAGCTTTGAAGAGATCTACCACAAGGTGAAGCGCGTCATCGAGGACCTCTCAGGCCCCTACATCTGGGTCCCAGCTCGAGAGAGACTCTGACTCCCACCCTGGCGTGGCCTGAACTCGCCCTGCCTCTGTCGCCCGGGCCCTGGGTCTGGACTGAATTGCCCAAGTCCTTCGCGCCCCAGCCTCCCTCCCACCCCTTCTTATTTATTTCCTTTCTAACTGGATCTAGCCCATTGGAGGGGGGACACTCCTCTGCATGTATCCCCGTACCCCAGAACTGGGCTCCTGAGCCCCAGGAACCTGGGGTCTGGGGAGGGCGGAGCCAGGCTCTTGGTTCTGAGCCCTCGCTCCTAAGGACCCTGCCCCTGCTGCCCCCAATGCACACACAGACCCACTGGGGGCTGCCTCACCTCCCTCATCTTTTCCCACACACATTCCAGAAGTCAGGGCCCCTCTCAAGGAGCACCCGCTGCAGGGATGCAGGGCCACAGCCCTCTGTGCTCTCCTGAGGCAGGGTCTGGGGTCACCCCTGCCCCCATCATAACTCCCTACATCCCTTGATTTCTCTTTTTTTTTTTTTTTCTCCATTTTTTTTCTTCTTAAAGGTGGTTTTTGGGGGGAGAAGTAGGGGGACTCCATGGTGGGTCCCTTGCCTTCCAAAAGCCCCCCACCTTTTTTCTTTGCTGGTTTGCATGAGTGGAAGGTCTAACTGTGGCTTTTATTTTTTCCTGGGAATTTTTTTTTTGGGGGGGGAAAGGGGAGGGATGGGACTAGGGAGTGGGGAACATGGGAGGGAGGGTGGGAGGGCAAGGGTCAGGGGTTGGGTGTCTGGGAGCCAGGGGAAGACTGGAAATGCTGCCGCCTTCTGCAATTTATTTATTTATTTTTCTTTTGAGAGAGTGAAAGGAAGAGACAGATACTTGAAACAGTGTGTGGCCTGCTTATTTGGGATGTGGGTGCAGAGGGAGACAGGGTGGGTCCCAGGGATCAGTGAGTCTGAAAAATTCAGGTCATTCTTCACCCTATGCCAGAAAGAAGAGGGTGGTGTGAAGAAGGGGCCTTTGAGGGAACTGGCAGCGCAGGAGGTGGTGAACAGGTTGGGAAGGGCCAGAGCTCCATCCAGTCACCAGGAGAGCCAGGAAGGGGAGGCCTGGCTGCTGCTGGGCCCTGCGAACTCAGTCCAGCTCCAGTGGTGCTCTTGCATGCCTCAGGTCCATAAGGGAGAATACTAAAGCTCTGTCGGGGTGCAGTGGGCACACAGCCTAACGAAGACCAAAGTTGGCCTGTCAATGTGTGGAGCACACCTGCCCCCCCACCATCGTAGCTGTGCTCAGAACGCTTCCCTTGGCTGGTGCTTGGGCAGGGCCATCTAAAAGTTGGATTAAACATCTCATGTGCCTGATCTGGAGCTGCAGCTCGCTGCTGCCCAGCACTGAGCGCATCATGCAGCACATTGCTAGCCTGTAAAAAAATTAGATGACAAATTGAAGTGTAGTTTCTGCTGAGTCTTTCCTTTGTATAATCATGAAGTTACAAAATTGGAGGCCAAGTATTATGAGTGGGGATCATCTATAGAGAAGAAACCTGTGTGCATAGAGTTTTGGAGAGGGCTGGGTATTCTGGAGATTACAGAAATATTCACTGGTGGGGAATGCTGGATGAACACTCATTGGGTTTCTTTTTCTTTATTTATCTTTGGTACCAGAGACTAAACTCAGGACCTTGACTTTCCAGGCAGGTGCTTATGCTGCTGAACTATCTGCCCAGCCCCTCATTGGATTTCTTCATACTCCATCTCTAGGAGAGATCTGAGATAGCTTTGCAAATAATGAGGGCAGGAAAATAGAAATTATTCTGAAGATAAAAGAAATGATCTCAGGGCTCCCTTGTAGCTAGGGCAAAAAGGGAAACAGTCCATTACCTAGTATATTACTATTATTATTATTTTGAGACAAGGTCTTGCTGTATAGTTCAGGGTGGCTTAGAACTATGTAGCCCAGGCTGGTCTTGAACTTGCAGTGACCTGCCTGTCAGCCTCCTGAGTGATGGGATTATAGGTGTGTGTTACCACACCTTGACCCTAGTACATTATTGCAAAGGAAAAATAATTTTAGTTCTTGTAGGCAGTCAGGTTTTTCTGGTCCTAAGTCCTAACAAACATGTCAGCTTGCTGTTATTTTCCTTCTACCACTGCTTATATTTGACAAGCTCCCACCATGAAGATCTCAGCAGTAACGTGGATAAGCCACTGCTGGCAGCAGCCGTGCCATGACTTGTCCCTCTGATTAATGGGGTTCCATGGGGAATGCCCTACAGAATGTTCTGTGTAGCACCCAATCCTGCATGACCCAACCTCCTGTGTCCTGGGGGGTGGAATTTGGGTGGTCTGCAATGGCAAGAACCTCCGTGGTGACTCTTGTCTGTTGCTAGGTGGAGAAGCACTGCTTTGGGGGAGGATTTTTAACTAATCTTGCGTCTGTGGGAGCAGGTGGCATGAGACTGCTGAAGTTCTCTGCTGTGGGCTAAGGGAGAAGGCTGGGAGGTCGGAAGGGTATGTGCAGGTCGTGGGTCTAGGTCTAGGGAGTTAAAGGTGGCTTACCCAGAAGGGGCTGAATCACCTAATTCTACAATATGTTTTGTTTTTGTAGCATTGGGGATCAAATGCAGGAGTGTTCTACCACTGCGCTACATACATCGTTAGATCTTTTTAGAGCTTTTAAATTTTATTTTATTTTATTTATTTATTTTTGGTGGAACCGGGGATTGAACTCATGCCCTTGCACTTGCCAGGCAAGCGCTTATTCTACTGAGCCATCTCCCCGGCCGCTAAATTTTATTTTATAAGAAAATGTGAAATCTTCACCTTAATTTTTTTGGAGAGAGTTTCAAAACAGGTTAATTGAGTTACAATAATTAATACATTGTGTATTGTTACATCTGTAGTAGTTATTCAGAGTACAAGATGTAAGTATATCTTTTCCAGACAATATTAGCACAAACCTTTCTTTTCAATGAACTAAGAGAAACTAGCTGTATCTTGTTATAAATATACCTTCTTTGCTTTTCCCTTTCTCCCATCACATTTTGTCTTTTCCTTTGAACAGTTTCTTCCCTATTTACAATATCTACTGTACATCTTGGATTTCATTTACTGGTTCAGTTTCTCACACTAGTGAGATGACACCATGTTTATATGTGTGGATCTGATTTATTTTACTTAGGAGTATGGTCTCAAACTTGAGATCCTCTTGCCTCAGCCTATTGAGTAGCTTGGATTTGTATGCATTTTTAAGTTATAAAAGTAATACATATACTTAAAAATATTCAAATATAGGGCTGGAGAGATAGCTCAATGGTTTAAGCACCTGCCTGGCAAGCGCAAGGACCTGGGTTTGATTCCCAGTACGACGAGCCTGCCACCAAAACTGCATGGTGGCACACACCCGTAATCCCAGCACTGGGGAGGCTGAGACAGGAGGATCACTCCAAGTTGGAGCTGTGGAATAAGACCCTGTACCAAGTAAATAAATAAATAAAAT